TATATATATTACACCCGCATACATATATACACATACTCAAGCATACACACGTATTATACATACAGTACATACATACATATGCATATATAGAACTAGCAGTTTCTAATAGAAAGTAAAATGCTGCGAGTATGTAATTCATGTAAATACTAATAAATACTTCAGTACATAAAAGGGTGTACTGATTTTTAGTTTAGTATTAAAGGTTGGTAGAAATGTATGATTTGGTGACTGGAAAAATATGGGTTTCAAGGAAAATACTTAAATAATACAACAGTACCATAAGGTCAGCAAGAAATACAATGAGGAACTAGCTTGAACAAATGTACTACTAGGATATAAATACATGTGCAATATATATACACATATATACACATATATATATATACTGTACATATATATATATATATATATACATATACATACATACATATATATATATATATATATATATATATGTATGTATATATATATATACTGTACATATATAATATATAAACATACACACACATACATACACACCTACCTACATACTTGCACAATACATATATTGTATGTACAAACTGTAAATATACAGTGTTAATAATACTGTAGTTAATACAAATTACGATAGTCCTTTAACAATAATGGTTTAGAAAATTACAATAAAATTGTTGAAGTTCACTTTACATTGATTATGGTTGGTATAGTAGCCATAGATTTATACTTTGTATAACTTTCCAGCCTCCATGTCAATAATTTCTCCTACTTTATGAGACTTAATTTTATCATAAAGATTGTCTACAAATAGGTGGCGTTTATACTCAGCAGATGCAATTGTAAATGATTCCCAAAAATGGCCAAACCCCAATCAATGAGGTCATCTTTTAAATTCTTAAAAACATTTTCTCTAATGGGACGTAGTCTTTCACAGTCAAATAAAAAGTGATCTGTCGTTTCCTTAAGGTTACCGGAGCATAATTTACTGAAACCATCATTATCTACCGACCAAGATTCTTTAATGCCCTCTTGGTCCAGAGAATTAGCGCGGGCTCTAAATTTAAGAGACACACACATAGTCTGATCATGGTCTGATCTAGGAGATAAGGTTCGATTGAAGGGTGACCTTTGTATCTAGTACAGTATGTCTGTAAGTAACCTCTTTGATTTAGCAATTTCAAACCATCTATTCATGTCAACTTCATATTTGTCTTTTTAAATTAATTCAACCAGGTATTTTGTGGTTCCATGTTGTACATTGATGAAAGGTTACATTTGTTTAATAGGCCTTTTATTTTTTGGTTAGCCATTACCATTTAAGGTAATTTTCAACATGAAAAAATGATTTTAACAGTAACCGTGGCCATTTATCTTCACTCATATTTTTAAGTCGGTTAAAATATTGTACGACAAAGTTGCTTTGTATTGATTCAATCGACTGCCAGCCCAATTCACCATAAAGTGCAGCCTTAGCCACATTTCTAGAATGGTTCGGGCCATTTGGTGTTGGAGGTTTTCAATTCTCTCCTTGGATGTTTTTCCTCTGAACCATAGAAAAGAACAATCACAATTTATTGTTGGTAAGCCGATTGATTTCCAAAGCAAGTCACCATAAAATACGGTAGTAATAGTGAAAAAGACAATATCTCCGTATGATGTTGACACTGTCGTCGTTATCAGGAATCATGGAAGCACAAACGAATACCCGATCGACTTTTAGAATTAAAACCAAAAAATAGTTTCTTGCTAATTAACCGACGCATAGATATAAATTCGTTTAATTTATTAAATTTTAGATTTATTTATTTATTTTTTTTTTTGGTAAAAAAAAAAATCACTATTTTAATTAAGTATTTGAGGGATTCCAGACTTTATGGCCTACAGTATAACCACATCGGGACTATAAAAGAAAACGACCCCTTCACGAGTAGACGCTTCAGGAGTCCGCAAATTTAATACAACCTTTTTATCTTTACATTTTCTAATATGAAACCGAAAGGTCCACTGATTAATCTCAGATAAGAAAGTATAATACATACTCCAAGTATTGAAATACACGCCATCGTGTTGGGATTCAATATTTCGACATTAATTATGTCATCATCAGGAATGAAAAAATTATCCATATTAGCAAGCTTATATGCACTAGTACCAAAAGTGTTTAACCAATCAAAACATTTATCTCTAGTAGGTGACATAGCAGTGATTTAAACAAAAGCTCAAAGCATTCTTACTCTAATGATCAAAGATACCTACAAAAACAAAGAAAGCTCTTTTGAAGCTCTGAGCCCATTGTTAAGCAAAGGGTGTAGTCTTCGTATAGCGAACGCTTCTTTAAACAATAGGATAGACCAGTTTCGGGAGCTGTCAATAATGTTAGTACTAGAAAATATTAAACCTAATTTATTACTTACATTACAGACGACACTATCATTTTCAAGTATACTCTGTAGTCCTAAAACATATTGGAATGCCTCACAGTTTTTAACATGATCAAATATAACACTATCAGATCGTGAAGAATGTTCTTTAAGTCTAGTTATTAAGCACCTATCTAATATGGTTTTGTAATATAATACGCCAACATCGACTAACAGCCTACACCGGTGTAAAATTAAAAGATTTCCGTGTTGAAATAAAATGACTTGGGCTTAAATTTCAATGTCAAATATCGTGTTAACAATTTCCGTTTAAAATTGTACGGCGACATTATTCTTGGTGATTGGATCCAACTTTATTGTCCTTTGTGGCAATTGACTTTATGAGATGTTGCAATACATTGCACTCACAAACAATAGTATGCCACAACATCAACTACCATTTCACCGTGATCCTACCATATCCTACCAGGTATCCATATACCCAGGCAGAAAACACTTTAGTGTTCGCCACATTGGACACACATACAGGTTTAAATAAGTCTTTCTTTCAATTAATTTCAATCAATTGGCTTATTCGACTGGTTCATTCGTTGACTACGAGTTTTCGTTGAGTATCATTTTCATTCTACAGGTTCGTAAGGTAGACTTTGTTGACCACGAAAATTACGTAAACCAGAGTGCGTTAATCAGCGTTTAGTTATCCACATGACCAAAACATACATGGCCTATTGGTCAGTTTAGCAACAACATTCGCGTTATATAATATAATTTATATTAAATTTCAGTCAGAAATAAAAATTATATAATTTACCCACATGCAGTCAAAAAATAATTGTAGGCTAACAGAATTTGAAAACTGGTGGAAAACACTTTCTTACGAAA